GGAGGTCAAGAGGCTGGGGTGGGGGGTGAGAGTGGGGGTGGAGGGGTGAGAAGGGGCTCAGGGCGTTGTTCTATCTGGCTTGGGCCTTTTCTCTCTCCCCAGCCTCCCCTGGCCATCAGGGGCCTTTTATCTTCTGCCACTGCCCCCAGCTGCCAGGGACTTTTTGTCTCCCCCTAGCCCTCTCCCCCAGCCACCCAGGGCCCTTTTTCTCCCCTCCTCTCTGGCACTGTAGCCAAAGGCTGGGGAAGGGGTTCGGCCTGGGTGCTGGCAGGCAAGACGGCAGAGCCCCAGCCCTGCCGGCCAGATAGCTCTGCCCTGCAGCCTCGCTGCCCCCAATAGCCACTCTCACATCACATCCCTCCAAAAAGCAGCCCCTCCCTTTGCACGTATGGAAAACAGCCCCTTTCCCAGGGCTTCCGGTTGTCCTGGTACAACCCACCCCTCGGCCTTGCTTTCAGTTAGGAGCAGAAGAAGCTGTCTATCAACTTTGGTGGCCCTCATATAACCCAGTCATCTACTGGGTGTGGGTCACAGTCTTATGGAGTGACCCAGAGACAACTTACAGAGAGAGCATAAGTGTGCTCAACAGCCTTCACTGGGCGCCTGCTGGCTTTCTGCTCAAGCTGTAGCGGCTCGTGCACTAAGCTCCAGGGGGCCCAGGTTCTGTTCCGCCTGTCGGCGTTACGCCGGCCCTTACCGCTTAGGAGGAGTTCTTGGACAAACAGACTCACGAACAGACAGATAAAGATTTAGCTAGACCCTGACTTCCTTGCTGTGTGCCTCCGAGTGACCACCCGGAATAGCGGCTGTAAACATTCGAAACCAACAGCGTCATGCCCCAGGACTGGAGAGCGGCCTGTCCCCGGGAACGGTTTGTCCAAGGGGTGGTTCCTTATCTGTGCCTGTGTTGCCATGTTCCTAGGACCGGGACTTCATCATGACCTTCAACACGTCGCTGCACCGCTCCTGGTGGATGGAGAACGGGCCTGGCTGCCTGGTGACGCCGGTGATGAACTCGAACCTGGCCCCCGAGGACCATCACGTCATCACTGTCACCGGATGCCTGCTCGACTACCAGTACATCGAGGTGGTGAGCAGCGCCATGCAGATATTCCTTGCGGTAAGGGGAGCCAGGCTTGCTTTGCCCACACCTCCGTCCCGGTGATTTCTGAGGGGCTGGGGGAGGCGCAGTGACGCTCCTGGGCCCAAGGTACAAGCCCTGGCGTCACTCCTGGCTCAAGTGAGACGAGAACCCGGATCACTGGGTAAACCCAGAGTAACTGCACCGAGGAAGGGCTAGTCCGGGAGCTGCCCCCGAGGGGGCTGCGACCTCGCAAGCTCCAATCATAGTCACCGTGAAGCCGCCAGAGCACAGGTGTCCCCCAGGCCTGGGTGGGGCTAGCCTGGGCCCCTCGGCTTCACTGCTAACTGAGCACAGCTAGCTCAGGTGTGGGCTGCAGTCTCTCCTCCAGTCGCCGTGGGGACAAGCCCTGGGAGAGCCGGCTGGGGCCACGTGGCTCTTGGAGGCTGGCTGGGGATCTGGTGCAAGACCAGGGCGTGCTGCTCTGGTGAATGCTGCTCCAGCTCGGAGTTAACCGGTGGAACGATGAACGAGGGCTGTGGGGCTCACTTCAGGCTGTAGGATGAAGCACCCCTGTGCGGACAGCCACGCAAAGCACCCGGAGCCCCTCGCACCCGGGGCGTTCGCCACTGGCTCGAGTGGAAGGAAATATCAGTGGGAAATATCAATGATGTAGATATTGGGATAGAGAGTACGCTTATTAAGTTTGCAGATGATACCAAACTGGGTGGGGTTGCGACTTCTTTGGAGGAGAGGGACATAATTCAAAATGACCTTAGCAAGTTAGGGAAATGGTCAGAGGTAAACAGGATGAGGTTTAATAAAGAGAAATGCAAAGTGCTCCACTTAGGAAGGAACAATCAGTTCCATACATACAAGATGGGAAGCGACTGTCTAGGAAGGAGCATGGCGGAAAGGGATCTAGGGGTCATAGTGGACCACAAGTTGAATATGAGCCAACAGTGTGATGCTGTTGCAAAAAAAGCAAATATGATTCTAGGTTGTATCAACAGGTGTGTTGTAAGCAAAACTCGTGAAGTCATTCTGCCGCTCTACTCTGCACTAGTTAGGCCTCAGCTGGAGTACTGTGTCCAGTTCTGGGAGCCACATTTCAAGAAAGAGGTGGAGAAATTGGAAAGGGTACAGAGAAGAGCGACAAGAATGATTAAAGGTTTAGAGAACATGACCTATGAAGCCAGGCTTCATGAACTGGGCTTGTTTAGTTTGGAAAAAAGAAGATTAAGGGGGGACATGATAGCGGTTTTCAAATATCTAAAAGGGTGTCACAAGGAGGAAGGAGAAAATTTGTTCCTCTTGGTTTCTGAGGACAGGACAAGGAGTAATGGGCTTAAAGTGCAGCAGGGGAGGTTTAGATTGGACATTAGGAAAAAATTCCTAACTGTCAGGGTGGTCAAATATTGGAATAAATTGCCAAGGGAGGTGGTGGAATCTCCCTCTCTGGAGATATTTAAGAACAGGTTAGATAGACATCTGTCAGGGATGGTGTAGACGGAGCTTGGTCCTGCCTTGAGGGCGGGGGGCTGGACTCGATGACCTCTCGAGGTCCCTTCCAGTCCTATTATTCTATGATTCTATGAAATAGGTCAATGGAGGGATGATAGGAGTTACTATAGAGAACTTTCTGGGTATCTGGCTGATGAGTCTTGCCCACATGCTCAGGGTTTAGCTGATCGCCATATTTGGGGTCGGGAAGGAATTTTCCTCCAGGGTAGATTGGCAGAGGCCCTGGAGGTTTTTCGCCTTCCTCTGTAGCCTGGGGCACAGATCACAGCTGGAGGATTCTCTGCATCTTGGGGTCTTCAAAGTATTTGAAGGCTTCAGTATCTGAGACATAGGTGAGAGGATTATTCTAGGAGGGGTGGGTGAGATTCTGTGGCCTGCACTGGGCAGGGGGTCAGACTAGATAATCATAATGGTCCCTTCTGACCTTAAAGTCTATGAGTCTATGAGAGAGGCAGCGGAGGCAGGAATCTGTCTGGGGGGCTAAGATGGCGCTTTCCAGCTGGTGGCTTCCCAGGGCGTTAGCGTCCATTAGCGCCTCGCGCTGATAATGTGTCACATCCACTCTGGCCGGCGCTTGAGGTGTGAGCAGCGGGTGCGGGGCAGACAGTCTCTGTGCTTCGTGGGCGACACGTGGGCTCAGAAATCAGACTCAGACTCGCGGCGCGAGCCCCCAGAAGAGCAGAGCCACACGTTCCCAGAGCCGCTGTGCTCAGCTCCCTGCCTGGCGGCTTCCTCGCCACAGGCTGCTCGTGAGTCGTCCACTGGCAGAAAGGTGCCAGGAGGTGAAGCCACGGTGAATGTGCCCTTGTGGGGCGGGGGGGGGGATCGAAGTCCCTGCCAGAGCGACGCTGCAGCCGGGACGCCGGAGGGGGAGGGATTAAAGGAGAGCGGCAAGGCAGGGTTTCAAACTGGGGTGCACTTGTATTGCCCAGGCACACACAGCCCCTGCCTTGTGGCTCGGGTCACCCGCTGCCTGCCATGAACAGAGCTGAAAACGGAGCCAGAGTAAAATGTGTCCCATGCAAAGAGCCTGCGCCAGGCTCCCATGTACACCCGTGTACAGCACCTAGCACATGGGCACCGTGCTCAGTTGGTCCCGGACACGGCTGTAATAAACATGGCTAAAAATAGCTAAGCTCACCCTAGCCCGCAGTGCGGAGGATGCACGTCTGTGCTGGCCCCTCTCGGTCTCAGCCAACACACAGAGCTTGGGAAATTGAAATGTACTAAGAGACGCGTAACCTTCTAACTCTGTTGGCAGGTAAGTGGTGAGCAAGAGAAGGAGATTAAATTGATGTGATAGATCGTTCGCTCTGGATAGTCTGCCCACGTCCACTGCAGCAGCTCCCGACCCGGCTATCGGTCTGTGTCACATTTCTCCAGTTCCAAATAATCGGCTTTTCTCTCTCTCTTTTTGTTTTGAAGCTCTTTGGATTCGTCTATGCCTGCTATGTCAGCAAAGTATTTCTGGAGGAAGAAGACAGCTGTGAGTGCTTTTGCTGTTAGTCACGGGGGGGGGGGGGGGGGAGATGTCACAATGCTCAGGGAGAACGTGGCACACTGGCTTGAACAGCCAGCACTGGGCACAGAAGTGTCAGGATTGATAGGGGGGAATGCACCAGGCTCCTTTTTAATCTGGGCCCAGTGCCAAGGATCAGGCCTCTGGCAAGGGACTGCCCTGCCCACGAGCAGCCCACGGGACAAGCATTCTTCGGCTTTCTGCTGACCGCACCCCAGATTGTGTCATGTTGTCAGGCCTGGTGGTGCCGGATGGCTGAATTAACAGACCAGCATGACGCTATGGACTTTAGTTCACTGTGAGAACGTCGACACAGCAGCGTTATTCCAAAATCACTTAGTCCGCGTCTACACAGCAGGCAGTTATTTTGAAATACTGTCGAAATACTGCCAAGGTGGAGGACTGCTTCCTCCGACTCCTGTAACCCTCAGTGCACGAGGAGTAAGGGAAGTCGGAGGAAGAGTACTCGATTTCGAAATAAGTGCTGTGTAGATGCCCCCGATTTCGAAATAAGCGACACAACTACTGTAGCTCAATTTGTGTCGCTTATTTCAAGTTAAGCCCCGCTGTGTGGACACCCTGCCTGGTGACGCCCAATGCAGCGGAGTGCGGCACCACAAAGTACCACACCCACTGTCAATAGGGGCGATAACTAGCGGCTGAAGAGCTTGCAGCGTGGTTTGTCGGTAGCTGGGCCAGGGTGTAGGCCCCTGGTCATTTAACTGACTTTGCTTGTAACTCTCCAACACCTGCTTTCCTGAGGGGAAGTGGTTGGCTGAGGGACTGGGATTCTGAGCAGAGCTGGGGGAGCCCTGGAGTTCAGGGCTACAGAGTTAGTAGGAGCAGATCTTGAGTACTGGGGAGCCTTTGACTCCCGGTAAATGCCTGGGTGAAGTGTTAGCCTGACTGTAGCCTGACCAGCCGAAGGAGGGTCCCACCCGCTGCCGGCCGGGGGCAGGGTCTGGCCCTTCTGAGCTGGGGTGATGCCGAACATGACAGCGCCATACTGGCTATTTCTGCCCTTCTCAGCGGAGTCCTGGCATGAGAGAGTTTTGTAGCAGAGAGGAGCCTTCCGGGAGAACCTGGGTGCAGAGACGGGCCCCTGACCATGCTCTGAATAACCCCCCCTCCAGCAGTACAGCCATCCCAGAGGCTGTGTGCACAACCGTCCCACTGGGACGCTCGTTGGGGCTGTGTGCACAACCGTCCCACTGGGACGCTCGTTGGGGCTGTGTGCACAACCGTCCCCCTGGGATGCTCGTTGGGGCTGTGTGCACAACTGTCCCAGTGGGTCCCACATTGGGGCTGTGTGGATTAGGGAGCTGGCACAGCGGCTGGTTACATTGCATAAGGCACTTCTGGAAGGTGCTCAGATGCTGCAGTGATGGGGGCCAGCTGTGAACCTGAACAGGGGAGAGCAAAACGAGCACTGGAGACCTCATCCAGAAGCCTGCACTGGTTTTGCGTTCACCGACTTACTCGTCTCTCTGCACCAAGCGCCACCTCCTGCGGGGCCACCGGGCGCCCCACCAGCTGGTGCTGCCAAGAGGGGGAAGGGCTGGGCACGGCCCAGGGGACAGCGGCTCGGAGCTCCGTGACGAGATGCCAAGCAGCAGCTGCAGCCTCCCAGCCAAGCCCAGAAGGACGAACACGAAGCCATCTGCACCTACGTGCCACGTGGGCGTCCAGCAGCAGGCAGAGGCTCAACGCAGCCGCCGGGACGTGAGCTGAGCAACACTCCCTGCGTGGATGTGAGGGCAGATTGCCACGCTCGCGCTGGTCCCAAAGGCTACGTCTGCACAGCTCCGCAAAGTGCACGCACACACGCCGTTCTTTCCACATAACCTCGGAACCCTGTCCAGCCGGAGGACTCCTGCAGCCCTCGTAGCATGAGGAGCCAGGGAAGGCGGAGGAGGCGTGCTCTGTTGCGAAGGCAGTGCTGTGTGGGCGCACCCACACTCAAAAGACGTGATTTCAACGAAAGTTACACAATTAGCGTAGCTCAAACTGCATAGCTCACTTCGAGGTTAGCCCTGCCGCGTAGACGGCCCCAAAGTGCACCGGCTCACAAGTCATGTGATTTGGGGCCAGCGCTGTAGGGTTTTATTAATCTGATGCTGGTCCTATGAAACAGTCATTGTGGGTCGTTGCATGATGGAGGAAGGTTTGCAAAGCACAGAGATGTTTAGCCAGGCAAGTGCTTTTTGGAAACCTTCTTCTACAACACAGAGTCCTGCAAGAGCATCAAAGGGCCCCCGCGCAGCCGCAGCTTCGACATTCCCACAATGCAAATGGGTAACGAGCACAAAGAATGCGGGTCTCTGTCGCCATTAGCAGGACTCTGGCAAAGCATTCATTGCAGAACCATGCTCCCGGGGGTTTGCTTGGGCAGATTCCAGGTGTGTCTGTGTGGTCACAGCTGCTGCCCAGTACAGCTGCGGGGCTGCAGCACATCTGGTGGAGACACTAAGCCATCAGGAGAGAGCTCTCCCATCGGCATAAAATCCCAGCTCCGCCCACGGCACAAGCTCTGCTGGCAGGAGCAGCTCTCCCGTGGGCACAGCGCAGCGCCCGCCGTCCTGCCCCTGTACCTTACGGCGCTCCAGAGGGTGGAATGTTGCCAGCCCTGCGCGATTTCCGTTTTGCTGACTGGGGCTGCAGAGTAGCTACGGCCTGAGTTGAAAGCTGAGGAAGGATTCCAGCTCAGTGTGCAGGCAGTTCCCTAGCAGCAGCTGTTCTGCGTGAGGGCAGGCGGTTACCCACCGCTCTGTCACGGAAGCAAAGGGGCATTTGGGTTCATTACACAGGTATAATTATGGGAGCAGGTAGATTCCTTTTAAAGTTGCTTGGCACTTTGGAGTCTTCTTCTGGCTTGTCTGCATGGGGCATTAGCATGTGTTTTAAGGGGGGAGGGATAGGTCAGGGTTTTGAGTTCAATCCTTGTGGAGGCCATTTACAGATTTGGGGAAAAATTCATTGGGGTGGTACTTGGTCCTGCCATGTAGGCAGGGGACTGGACTCGGTGACCTTTCAAGGTCTCTTCCAGTTCTAGGAGGTAGGCAATCTCCATTAATTATAAAAAAAAAATCAGGGTGTGAATCCAGCACAGCTGCATTTTGCACGGTCATGATCCCCATGACTGCTGCGGCAGCGCATGAGCGGTGCCGTTGGGCGCTGTGACGTGGTCCCGTTTCAAACAGCAGCACATCAAAGCGGCCTCTGTTCTGGGACGGTGTCTGTGCCGGATGCCACCGTCAGGCACGCTCGTGGCTACAGCCAACCTAGACAAAATATCCTCTTGGTTTTACTCTCCTCCCAATACTGTAGGGATCGGCAAGCTGTCCGATCTAGGGCAGGCTAGAGACAAGCCGGGGATGGTGAGTGCTCTAACCACTGAGCCATCGTTCCTCTTTTCCCGCCGCCATCAGAGCGGGGTATTTTACCTGCTCCACCCTCCTAGGCAGTCCTCAGTTACAGCCAGTGTGAAACATTATCTCCTCCTAGTCAGTGTTTGAAATGGTAGCAGCAGTGCCAGCAGGAAGAATGGCATGGGAGTGGCAGTACACTGTGCAGAAAGACGGACACCCACAGAGCCATAATCACAGACTGTTACCGATCCAACCTGCTCCATTTATTTGTTCCCCGGTGGAGGAAAGGAAATGTAAGCACAGCTATGGGCGAATTAAAAAAAAATCGATTTCATTTATTTTCACTGAATAGTCCTGCAGACAGCCGCACATGAGTGCTGAGTGCTCGGCCGGTAATTAAATGTACACTCACACTGATAGCCATCCAGCAGCAGTTACTGCTCATCTGCAAATCATTCTTTCCAGCCAGCTGGCAGCATCCGATCACCAAACGGAGACCGTGGTTTACCGCAGCCAGCCAGTAAATCAGACAAAAAGCCCCAGCCAGGAACATCCCTCCAGACCACATCCAATAGGAGACTCACATAGGGTAGCTGCTAGGCCCCTTCTATTTTACGTGCTCGCACGGCTCCCATCGCCACATTGTGTGAGTGCTCAATCTCATGGGTTTAGCCTCACCCAGCTCCGCGAGGCAGGGCAGTGGCATGGTCCCTGTTGTACGGACAGGAAACAGAGGCAAACCAAGGCTAAGTGACTTGCCTAAGGTCACAGAAAAAGCAACAAACTTCTGGGCCATCCCCGCCCTTGCTTGATCTATCTTCATTTCATCACCCAAAGCTGCTGCTGCAGCACAACTCGGTCTCTGGATTCGTCACTCTCTCCCAGTTTGGAACCAGATTTTTCTGGGAGTTAGGTCTCAGTCTCTGCTCTCCCAATCTGTGCCGGGTACGTGTTCCTGCTGGAGGCTGCCTAGGGTACGAGGGCCACGCAGAACCCGGGGGGAGCTCTCTTCCCCGCACAGCCTGCCGGGACAGCTCAGGTCACTAACGCGAGCATTCGGTTGCATTTTGAGGCTGGCACTTGGGGCTCCAGTGCAGCTTCCCAGAGGGGTCCTGAAGCCGCTGGGCAGGAGAGCTGTGGGGGAAGGGGGTGCTTGGCACCTGTGCAGTTAGGCTGAGATAACCGTACGGCTGTCAGAGGGCGCAGTCTGGATCCTGCACGATTCAATGACTCAATAAGAGAGAGAGGACACTGAGCTGGGAGAGTGTGGCAGGTTTGTGACACTGGCACGGCGCCTCCTGCTGGCCTGTCTGTAAATTAACTCTTCCAGCCCTGCAGCACCCCCTGTTGGCTGTTGTCTTGCCCTTAGATACCTGTCATTTTCTGCCCTTGTCAAGCCCTGTGTCCCTCCTGGCCCACAATGTGCATTTCGTCATGGCACTGCCCCATGGCCGGGGCCCTCCCCTCCCAGGGAACCCCTATCCCCTAGACCCATCTTATCAGTGACTGCCAGGTGACACCTAGCCCCTGTCCCAGGGGCAAACTGAAGTCTGACATGGCCACTGGCACTCATCACTGGCAAGGGGGCGTGGACCTGCT